CTTGAAGCTGAGTTAAGTGCTTTACATTTATGAACTTATTCCTCACAGTATTTCTATGAAATAGATAGTTCTGTAATCATTTATCTGAAACCTTTGGGGTACGTGTAATTCAGATTTTACGTCAGAGTTTAGAAAGGTGCCAACTCAACACTGTGTGTGTGAGTGTCTATGTGTGTGAGGTGCTGTGAAGACGGAAACTTTATTCAGTGCAGATAGCTCAGGTGTGATACAACACAACTGTGAGATCAGCATGACTGTGGGGCATCTAAATATTGTTACAGCTCGATCATGAAACAGCATGGCTGTATGGTGATTGAGGGACGAGGCCCCTTGCAGCTAGACAGCTCTGCTTTGCCCCGCTTTGCACTGCTCTGCTCAGTGTGATGTCCTCGGTGTTTCAGCTGTAGTGAGGAAACATAATCCTCAGTTTTGGTGGAAAGGGAAAGTGTGCTCTCTGAACAAGAGAGGAGCTGACTTATATAAACAGAAGTGCTGTCCCTGGTCTCTGATTGGTCCATCCTCATGCAAATGGGGATTCTAAATTTTTGCTGTTTGATTGGTCCAAAAAACATTGTCCCGATTGGTCAGAATGGAGTTGCTTTGATTGGTCTGTGAAGATGCTGATGGGAATACAGCTGCTTAGCTCTGATTGGATGGGGAAAGCCTCAGTCCTATGGGTTGACATGCAATTCTAGGAACTCCTTTATAAAGGCAGGAGCACAGTTCAGGCATGCAGTTTAGTGCAGGTTTCTCCATGAAGTGAGTTTTGCATGAGAGGTCTCTCTTCAGAAACAGCTTCTAGGCTCTGCTTTTAAATTTGAGCCGAGTTAGCGACTAGGAGCCCTGCTTAGTAGGTATTTTCTTTCTCACGGGCCACAAAGCTCATATGCTTCACTATGTATTATATAATACCCCACAGGATCTTGGGGTAGCATAATGTAATCAAAAGCATTGGTATTTTTATAGTGAAATGTGTGAATGTTCCCATTAATTGAGATAAGTGTGGACTGTAAATAGGCTTGCATTAGTTTAGGGCAAGTTTTGGAATTAATTTACCCAAAACTTAAAATTTTCACTCTATGTCAGATTTTGGAATGGAAAATAAAAAGGATTTTTAAAAAAAATATTTTTTATTGATTTTTTACAGAGAGAAGGGGAGAGGGATAGAGAGTTAGAAACACGGATGAGAGAAACATTGATCAGCTGCCTCTTGCACGCCCCCTACTGGGGATGTGCCCGCAACCAAGGTACATGCCCTTGACCGGAATTGAACCTGGGACCCTTGAGTGTGCAGGCCAACGCTCTATCCGCTGAGCCAAACCGGTTAGGGCATAAAAAGGATTTTGAATTTGTATTATGTTTATTTTATGGACAAGGAAACTGAGACCCGTGAGAGGGTAGAATCTCATTATATTGAAGGGATTATTTTTTTGGAAGGGAAAAACACTGATGTGAGAGAGAAATATCGCTCAGTTGCCTCCTATATGTGCCCTGATAGGGATCAAACCCAAAACCTAGGTATGTTCCCTTCCTGGTAATTGAACTCACCACCTTCTGGTGCACGAAGCAACTTCTGGTGCTCCAACCAACTGAGCAACACTGGCCAGGGTGAGGAGTCGTGTTTTTAATTTAAGTAGTTATGTTACTTCATTGTAAGCTAAAATATATCCTTTAATATGTTTGTATACTTTTATTTCTGTTTTTTTCCTAGATGTATATTATGTTAAATATTCGAGTTGTGCTAGTTGGACTGGAGATTTGGACAAATGTAAACCTGATCAGCACAGTTGGTGGTGCTGGTGATGTGTTGGGGAACTTTGTACAATGGCGGGAAAAGTTTCTTATAACACGTCGGAGACATGACAGTGCACAGCTAATTCTGTAAGTGATTTTTTCTTTTTAAATCCTTATCTGAGGAAACGCTCATTGATTTTAGAGGGAAAAGGAGAGAAAAGAGAGAGAAAAAAAAAAACATCAATGTGAGAGAAAACATTGATTGGTTGCCTTACATGTGTGCCCTGACCCGGAACTGAACCTGCAACCTTTTGATATAGGAGATGATGCTCCAGCCACCTGAGCCACACTGGCCAGGGCTAGTTCTGTAAGTGATTTTTAAAAAGTTCTATTAATGAGATGGTCAGAATAATAACTTTTGTTTGTTTTCTTTTATTAAGGTTATATTTTCATAAGGTTTTTGATCATTTATTTAAATAAAGAAAACTTAATTTCATACATTAGGACCAAGTGAGAGTATAATAATATCTCTCTTCTGTGTTCAATTTCCTGTCACCTTAATCTCATGTCCTTTCACTTTCTTGGGTTTAGTTTACTCTCTCCGTTTGGTATGGCATGTATTCTAGTTTTGCCAGGGCTGACAGCAGTCCCTGAACAGATCACTCACAGTTTGATTGTGAAAGACAGGGCTAAAGGGCTCCTGGCCTTAGTAGCCAGAGCGGCCTCTATTGCCTGCCTCCTTAGGCCTTTATTGGAATTTTTCTCTTGAGATACAATCAGTAGGTGAGTAATCTTGGGAGCACACATGTTTACATTGTCCTCTAGACAAGGGCATCCAGGGATTAAGCATAAGGATTCTAGTAAACATCAGGAGTCTGCATATGCACAGGCTTGTTTGGAAAGGCCAAGGAATAATTAGGGGCACCACTTTCAATACTCCCCTAAGTCTCCCTAAGTCGGAATTCCGATAAAGAGGGCAGGTGGCATTCCACACACTTTCCTTTTATCAGAATGACCTTACAACTTTCCAACCAAGTCTCTTGTGCTCCCCAACATAGTTTCTTTCATCTTGCACCTGAGAAAATGTACTTAATAGTCTCAGAACAGATTTTTAAAAAATTATCTTGCCCTAGACAGTCTGGCTCAGCAGATAGAGCATCGGACTGCGGACTGAAGGGTCCCGGGTTCGATTCTGGTCAAGGGCACATGCCCGGGTTGCAGGCTCGATCCCCAGTAGGAGGCCTGTAGGAGGCAGCTGATCAATGACTCTCATCATTGATGTTTCTCTCTCTCTCTCTCTTTTTCTCTGAAATCAATAAAAATAGTTTTTTAAAAATTATCTCATTTTGACCCTCGATTATTCTGGGGTCTAAGTAACTCATTCTTTCAGAGGTGTGCTTTGTAGCTTGTTTAATAACTTTTTGATTATTTGGATGGGTATAAAATTTGAGGCATGAAATCTTTTTTCTTCAGAATGAATCGAATCTGTTATCTTTTGACTTCCAATATGACTGTTGAGAACCATTAAATCATTCTGATTTCTGATCCTGTATATGTGGCTTCTTAAAATTTCTTTTTCTCTGGAAACTTACAGGAATAGGATCTTCTCTTAATTCCCAGGTGTCTTAATTTTCTTGATGATAGGCTTTTGTGTAGGTCTTTTATCACTGATGTGCTGTGTCCTTAGTGGGTAATTTCAGTTTTGAAACTGATGTCCTATAGTTTCAGGAATTACCTTTTGTTTCCTTTCTTCTCTTTGTCTTTTTGTTTTTTGGGGGGGGATATTGTCTTAAATTTAACTTTTAAGCTTTTTATTGAGTTTTTAATTTCTGGCTATCTTATTTTTAATGTTTAATAGATGTTTTTCGTTCCCCTGAATATTTTTTTACATAATCAGTTTTTTATTTCCTGGATATAATAGTTTTCATAGTCTCTTTGAAATATTACTGGTATATTTTAAAAATTCTTCTTCTTTTCTACAGCAATTTCATGGTACCTTAATAAAACTTACACTTATATAAATCACTAAATACAAGTACATTCCAAAAACTTACAGTAAAACCTTCACTGAAAATATTTAAAGCATTTTATTCTCCTTAGAAGTTTCCTGGCTTGATAGGCTGGCTTTTTGCAAAAAGAAAAAATTCTATTTTAAAAATATATTTTATTGATTTTTTACAAAGAGGAAGGGAGAGGGATAGAGAGTCAGAAACATTGATGAGAGAGAAACATCGATCAGCTGCCTCCTGCACATCCCGCAGTGGGGATGTGCCCGCAACCCAGGTACATGCCCTTGACCGCAATCGAACCTGGGACCCTTCAGTCCGCAGGCTAACGCTCTATCCACTGAGCCAAACCGGCTTCGGCAAAAAAAAAATTCTATTTTATATAATACTTTTTGCCTCCCTCAATGTTGATGGTACCTAAAAATAATTTTTTTTTTCCAGAGGAGAAACTTCCCCTGATTTTCTTTCGTTTTCTTTTGTTATGTGAGTTAATTTAAGCAAGGCACTGAAAATGCCAAAATGGATTTTTATGGCCCTGTAGTCACAAAGGATTGGTCCTGACTTTTAAATTAATTTTAGTAAAATTGCATCTACAAGTATCCTCATCCCAGTGAGTATGCCATCCAGTTCACACAAGACCAAAAGGAACAGGCATTAAGCATACTCCTGTGCCTTGCCCAGGTATGCCTACCAAGCTGTCTTTCCCCCTCTTTTTGGTCTCCATCTGTTGTGTTAGAGGTGTTTAGTTTGTGGTTAAAATGAGGTACTGAAAGCCTTTTGGAAGCATTGAGTACATGAGAGGGGGTTTGGGGACTTTGGAGTTCACTATATGGTGACCTGGTTGAAAATTTTTCTTGGAAATCCCCTTATGTCAATATCTCAAGTCCTTTTCTCTTCGCTGGTCAGATGTCCCAGAGAAGGATTTAGTCATCCATTTAAAAGATATTCATTAGGTGTATACCATAGGCACTGAAGTAGAGCAGTAAACATAACAGACAAAACTTCTTGCTCTCATGGAGTCCATATTCTGGTGGAGGTGATTTGCCATAAATGAGATAAATAAGTATATGTAATATCTATATCTATACACATAAAAGGCTAAGCAACTGTCAGACTGTCCCACTGGTAGGTAGCTATGATGAGCAATGACCACCACGGGGCAGACACTCCAACCGGTAGCTATGACGCACACTGACCACCAGGGAGCAGATGCTCAACGCAGGAGCTGCTGAGTTGCTGTGACTTGGCAACAGTGGTTCTCGGGTGACGTACCCCGGAACCAGAGAGGAAGGAGCCCCATTCTGGGATGCATCACCCGAGAACTACCCTCTTGCAATCCGGGACCCCTTAGGGGTTGTTGGAGAGCTGGTTTCAGCTTGATCCCTGCAGGCTAGGCCAAGGGACCCCACCTGCTAGAGGGACCTTGCTCAGTCCGCAGATGCCCTTCAAGCCATGGCACTGCCCCAGGTGTGGCCAGTTGGAAGGGACCCTGGGGGGTTGGCTCTAGGGCATGTCCGGCCCATCCATCTTGCCCAGTCCTGCCCTGCTAGCCACCTTCTAATTAATTTCTTTTCAATGTGACGAATCTGTGCACCAGGCACTAGATAAATAAAGATAAATGGTAAGGTGGAAAAATAAAAGTATTGGAGGAATAAAGTTGAAATTTAGGTAACATGGCAAAATAAGATCTCAGTCAGAAGATTTTGCCTAAAGACCTGAAGGAGGTGAGGGAGTGAGTTAGGGTATATATGGGTGAGAAAGTTCCAGGCAGAGGGAACAGGTCCTGGGATACAAGTGATGAACCATATGGAGGCCACGGTGACCTTATTGTTCCCTGTGCTTCCTGCCTTGTAGCCTCCTGTGTGCATATGTTCATTGAGTTTGTTCCCTGTCTCTCACAAGAATATTTGCATAAATAAATGTAATGCATTTTAGGGAGGTTTTTCATTAGAAGGTAGAAAACATTTGGTTTGGTATCTTCATTTTTCTAAAAAACGAATTTGTAATATTAATCTCATTCTCTGATGATAAAAGAGAGAAGGTTTTATTGTTTTCTGACTTCAAAATGTTACTTGTTATAACTTTCACCTTTTCTTTTCATTTAGGAAGAAAGGTTTTGGTGGGACTGCAGGAATGGCATTTGTGGGAACAGTGTGTTCAAGGAGCCACGCAGGCGGGATTAATGTGGTACATTTTTGTTCTTGATATTCACCTTTGGCCCTCTGCATTAGGAGAGTGTCAAGCATTTCTTGACTCTATACTTCCTTCCCTCATCCTTAAAACTATATTTTGGGTTTTATCAGGGAAAATGTAGAAGTGAAGATGAGTTGGATTAAGTATCCTAATATTTATTAGCTTCTCACTTTTTATGGGTGAGAAAATAGAGACCTCACTTAAGAAAATTAAATTAGAACCATGAACTTGTTTTCCATAGACCACCATGAATAATCTATTGGTGCTAAAGTATTTGATCTATTGCTTAAAGAGTCTATCTTCATAGTGTGTTGAGTCACAGGAGTTTCTTCTTACTAGGCTGAAATGTATAAGTACTGATGTTGGATGCTTGATTTATCATATATACTATTAACATTATTGTGATAAATTTCCTTTGTGAAAAAATAATTTCAGAAACAAAACATATCCTTTTGCTCAGAAACCAAGGTAATACCTTCTTGTGTTTGGACAGTTTGGGCAAATCACAGTGGAGACATTTGCATCTATTGTTGCTCATGAGTTGGGTCATAACCTTGGAATGAATCATGATGATGGGAGAAATTGTGTTTGTGGAGCAAAGAGCTGCATTATGAATTCAGGAGCATCGTGAGTAATGAGTTCTTTCTTCTTATTCTTTATAATGTGGTATTGTAGATCAGTATTTCTTAAACTCTGGGATATACTCCTGTCTATGTTAAAAAAAAACAGGAAAAATTATCCTTGGTTCCCCTGAAACTAATTACATGATACACCAATGAGAAATCTGTTTTTTTAATTAAATAAATAATTCCACAAAGCTTTCCACAAGAAATATTTATTTAGGCACAGGTATGCCTACACTCTTCTTTAAACCAGTCGACAGACCAAAAGATATAAGAACATGGAAAAATTTACATCTGAATTACAAATTAGGGAGGGGATTCTGTTCGAATCAGTGCAGGTTAGAATATAGATTGAAGGACAATATGAAACATTTACTCACAGACCTCATGAGAAAACACTGTTGTCACTGTAGGTAGAAGAGATCTTGATGTAGTCCTAACATTTCCAATTTTATACATAAAGGTGAGAGGAAAGACAAAGAGAAGGAGAAAGAAGCATTAACATTTATTGAACTCTATTTCTGTATCAGGCACTGTTCTAGGCACTTAAAAGGTATTAATCAGTTAATGTGCAACAACCTAATGAGATGTAGGTACTTTGTTATCTCTATGGATGAGGAAACACGTCACACATCTAAGGAAGTGATGAAGCTGGGATTTGAAATCAAGAAGTCTAGGTCAAGAGCCTGTGATCTTAGAACCCCTTCTTTTGCCAGGGTTCAAAAGTAATTACAATTGAGGGTCTAAGGGTGAACAAGAACCATTGAGTTGTTGGGCTTCTTTTTGATGCAGAGTTCTCAGAAGGCAACATGGTTCCGTCCTGCTTTCGTAGGCAGTTGTGCTAAGCAGAGAACTGGACATGACCACAGTGCATGTGTGGATTAGAAGCTGAGTCAGAGAAAAAATTAGATATGAAAGATGTTCATCTCTAACAAACACAGATCAAGATTTCATATGGGGAATATCCATGGCCCTAAGGATTATCTCCCTTTTCTATTTTCCTCAAGCTCCTAGGGCACTGAAAAAATAATAAAACTTCTGTTAGCCATCACTCTAAATGTGAGAATATAGTTGTAATCACATCCTGGTATAAAGGGGAAGCACTCAAGCATGATTTACTACAGAATTTATTGGTTTTGGAGGAAATACTAGGCTGAAAAATAGATATGGAAGAATTAGTATAGCACTTATGAAAAAACTATCTTTAATAGAAGTGTAATTATATTTACAAGAAAAGTCATGAGTGTAAAATATTTTATGTTGGGCAGGGAAGTAAGTTTAGTGTTTGCTCTGGCTGGCAGTGAAGTTGAGGAAGACATAGATTCAGGGGAAAAGAAAGAAATAATCAACAGTGAGATAAAATAAGACACTACTGAAAAAAGGAACATCAAGAGGAAGGAATGTCATGAAACAGCGCTGTAGTGGAATTTAAAAAGGTATGACCCATACTTCATTCACTCATCAAATATTTATTGAGCACTATGTGCTAGACTTTGTTTTAGGCACTTAGACTATCTCAGTGAGTTAGATAAAGACTTGTCCTTTACAGAATTTACATTTTAATGGTGAAGACAACATATTAACCTAATAAATACATCAGTAATAGGTCACAAACCATTATAATTATATTCAGGAAACACACCTGTATCAAAGAGACTCAGAATAAGACAAAAATTACCACTTTTCATTTATGAGATATATAATCATTAATGAACATTTGTCATAGTTTTTTTTAATTTTACGTTATTAAGTTATATAATGTAAAAAGCACCTCAAGGGAAAATGTTCCCATATATTAGAGAAAATTTTAAAATCTCTTTCTTAATCATTAACAGATTATGTAAACAAAACACATATAAAATGTAAACAGAAGTCTGGAAGAAAGTTTCTGAAAAATTAAAAGAGAGTTTATTCAGGTAATGATTTGCAAACCAGGAAATGTAGCCCTTGGTATGAACCAAATAGATCAGTGGTTCTCAACCTTCCTAATGCCGCGACCCTTTAATACAGTTTCTCATGTTGTGGTGACCCCCGATTTCATTGTTACAAATTGAACATAATTAAAGCATAGTGATTAATCACAAAAACAATATGTATATATGTATTTTCCGATAGTCTTAGGCGACCCCTGTGAAAGGGCCGTTCGACCCCCAAAGGGGTCGCGACCCACAGGTTGAGAACCGCTGAAATAGATGTTCCAAAATGGATGGGTGGGATAAGGCAAGGTTTATAAAGGCAAAAATTGTCAAGAGCTGACAATCAAAGAGATGGGTTGCTAGGGGAAATGAGACCGTAAACTTACAATATTTGTTTTCTGATTGGTAGGGGCAACTGTACTTTTAACAGTTGGTTGACTCAGTGGCCAAGCATGTGGGGTTTGAGATGAGAACAATAGGTAATATATGATTAAGCATTTGTCAACATCCTAGTTTCAGCCCAGGCCGTAGAACAAAAGGCTGTTTTCTTATCACACAATTATAGTACAGGAAGTATCATTTAGCAGTGATTCAAGGAGTATGATTAACAAACAGTACAGGGGCTACTGCTTACTCTATGGGTAGGTTCTGAGCCCAAAAGGGCAAGTTATACTTTGTAAGCAGCTTCAGAGATCAGGCTGCAAAAATCCAAATATTCGGCCATAAATTATGATTTTAAATTTCTGATAAGTCCTTAAGATTATAGAGGTTTAAATAAATATTAGTATGGTTAATTTTATAAGTAAAACTTCAGATGTCCAGTTGACCGTATATTTTACCCAAAGAAGACTTACTTAAACATGTATATAAGATGATGTCAAATATTAGGCAACCTACCATTTTCCCTGTGAGAAGAGCTGCAAATAAATTTGTTTTTTTGGCTAACTTAAAAATATAACCTTATAGGGATGTAAAAGACATAAAGGGAGAGTATGTAATTGGCTTTTGGAGAGGAAAACAGTAGCTATTAGGAGGGACTGGCCCTACAGAAGTTGAAATAGTGGGAAGCTGCCAACATAAGGTGACCTGATGGAGAGGGATCCAGAGGAACTAATCCGCCTTATTCTCCTACTGCCTTCTTGTCTCTGCCAGTGCCTCTTATTTGGCTGTGTTTTATTGGATACAGTCCATATAGGTCATTCTCCAGCAAGCATAGAGCACAATGGAAAAGGATGGGGATGATATTTGTCAGTCCCATTACTTTATCTTGTTTTGCATCAGCTAATGCATTGAATAAGGAAAAGATTTAGGAATAATTATTTGAAAAGGGGAAAGCTCACATGATATGATTGTCTAGTTTTGAACAGCAAGGGAATCAATTAAATAGTATTAGAAATATAGTTATAAGTGTATAAAATAAATAGATTCCCTTTAAACCAGTTATAACCATTTTGAAAAAACGTGAGGGGAAAAACCTGTTTTTATTTGTCTAAAGTTCAAGATATCTCAGAATCAAGATGAAATAACCCAGGCTGGACTTATTATTATATATTCATTATTGTGACTTCCCATTTTTCTTCTTCTGATTTTAAAAGAAACTAATCTTTAAACATTTTTGTGGGCCATTGAAAGTATGAGGGGTCCTAGGCACGTGCCTATTGTGCCTAAGTTGGCCCAGGCTCCTGAGGCACCTCTTTAGAAGCTCCAGGGCACTGGAGAGTGTGGTTTGTGACTCACTAGTGGTTAATAATATGTTGGCCTAAAAATGTACTTAACCATGTGAAAAAGGGATATATGAAATATTATAGTGTGAATTATAACTATCTTTAAACATAGGAACATGTGAAAAAAGATCGTGAGGATGTATGCCAAAAGTTTAACTGGTTGTGTCTTTTGGGGTAATCTTTCAGGTCATTTTTTTGATTTTTCTTCTGGCTTTTCTATAGTTTTTTGAATTATTTTGTTCTGAGAAATAATTTTTAACTAGGAACTAGAGAAAAATTATTTAATACAAGTGTTCTGGAAAAAGCGTAGGTGCCATTCTGTTATAAATATAAATATTTAATAGTATTGAACTTTTAAGTGATTGCTGTTACCAGTGTTCCCTGGAATATATTCTTGAGAACTGATAATGTATGCTGGAAATATTGTATTGCTGATTTTGTTGTGGAGTTTGAACATTTATTTATTTAAAAATATTTTTATTGATTTCAGAGAGGAAGGGAGAGGGAGAGAGAGATAGAAACATCAATGATGAGAGAGCATCATTGATTGGCTGCCTTCTGCACACCTCCACTTGGGATCAAGCCCACAACCTGGGCATGTGCCCCAACTGGGAATCGAACCATGACCTCTGGTTCATAGCTCAGTGCTCAACTGCTGAGCCATGCTGGCTGGGCTTAAATTTATTTTTAAAACATTTTCAGAGGATAATTATATTTCAAATATATCTGAGTGGATTGTCTTGATATTATTTTCCCATTACTACCAGTACCATAACAGTTTCACACTTTTATTTAGCAATCTAATAAGAATTTTAGGATACATATATTTGTTGATTGTTGCCTTTGCCTTTTGGGGAGGTTCTGTGATTGTGTTAAAAAGGTAGTATGTGAGTTTCCACATATTTTCTTGATCTTGTAATAATTTTATATGTTAGTGTAGTAAGTTAAAATAAATGTCCTGTTTGTAGTTTACTTGTCTGGGGCAGAGAGATAGCTTGTGAGCAAGTATAAGTATTGGATAAGTGTAAGTAGTCACTACTTGCAAATGTTCACCACTTGAGTTTCTGTCTTTGTTTTATTGTTTTGTATATGAAGCAGAAATATGTTGGGCTTACTGGGTTGAAATGGGGCATGGCTCAAGAATGGTCTTAAGTTTGGAGATGTGGTTAATGAGACAGTTGGGTCTGGGGAGGTTTTGTAAGGAATAAAACATCAGCATTTCATTGCTTATAGGGGATTAGCACAGAAGCACCTTAGGAATGGTTGGCTAAAATTGGGTCCATAGCAAACACAGAGATCCTTGGAAGCTATAATCTGAGGCAATACTTGTAATAGCTTGGTCCTAAAAAACTTCTAATGAAGACCCATTGATTTCTAGATCTAGAAATACCAAGTTTTGGAGAATGAAAGGTTTTCCACCTTCCAAAAAAGAGCATAAGTGACACCTGAATGAAGGGGGACCTGCTTCTCTTGAGGGGAATGTGAACTATCCCAGAGAGGACATTGCACTAACTTCCACTTTGAACAGGGAAGTATTCTGGGCAGAGGACAGAATAGGACAGATAGTGTTGGATTGACAATTTAAGATGTGGTGGGCCTCATTAGACAGATGGCTTTAGCCTATTCCTCAATGGAATGGACTGACTTGCTCCACCAGATGGCAATACATTTCTTAGATTTATTAATGGTGCTGTTTTCTGTTGCATCATCTGTGTGTGTGTGTGTGTGTGTGTGTGTCTGTGTGTGTGTGTGGTGTGTGTGTTTTGTTTTTAAATCAGAGAGAGCCTGCTCTGCAACTCAAGTTTCCCTCTTATTCTGTGTCCTTTATCTTTGACTCTATATATATTATTGATTTCAGAGAGAGGATGAGAAGAGAGATAGAAACATGAATGATGAGAGAGAATCATTGATTGGCTGTCTCCTGCACTTTCCCCACTGGGGATCAAGCCTGCAATCCAGACATATGCCCTTACCAGAAATCGAACTGTGACCTCCTGGTTCATGGGTCCGATGCTCAACCACTGAACCACACTGGCCGGATGATTCTATTTTCTTATTGATGATTGCTTCCTATCAATGCTATGACCTGTCAGCTTTCTGATCTCTAACAACCACCATCAGGTTGAGCAAAGTCATCTTTTATTTTTTTTTCTATAGGATTTCTTAGTCCTGATTAAGGAACCTTCTAGTTGACTGTATGCTGCTGAGCCTAGCTGTGGGAAGCACTGCAAATAACTCTTGCTGGGTCTTCTTATTCTGGTACAACTTGTGATATATTAGGACAAAACATTTTTATTGTCACAAATAAAACTTACAGAAAATGGTTATTTCTTTAAAACATATACATAATCCAAACACTTCTTACTACTCCCACTGCTGTCGGGCTGCTCTGTCATTGTTAAGTGGAATTCTGCAGTAGCCTTTTGCATAGTAACCATTCAGATCAAGTCACTCCTGCTCAGCACTTTCTATTGTCATTCTCTCCCTTCTCCCTCTTCCCAATCTCCTCCTTTCTCTCATTATAAAAAGTCAATTTCTTACAATGGCCTATTCCCACCTTTACTGATGGTATCTCACATTACCCATTCCTTCACTGACTCACTCCCGCTCCAACCTTTCTGGCTTCTTTATTTTTTCTTGAGCATGCCAGGCAGGCTTCTATTTTAGGGTTTTTGTACTTGTTCCTTCTCCCTGTAATGTTCCCTTGCCCCAGATAGCCAGTTTTGATTCAATTGTCACAATGTTTGAAATGCCTGTCCTGACAGCTCTTTTAAAAATTGCAATCGCTTCTTTGCCTACACAGGTTATCCCTTCACCTCTTCACCTTTTTCCTCAATTGCACTTATCACCTTATATACTATTGAATTTACTTATATATCTTTTAAATATATTTTTATTGATTTCAGAGAGGAAGGGAGAGGGAGAGAGTGAGAGAAACGTCAACGATAGGAGAGAATCATTTATTGGCTGTCTCCTGCACACCCCCTACTGGGGATCAAGCCCGCAACCTGGACATGTGCCCTTGACCGGAATCAAACCTGGTACCCTTCAGTTTGCGGGCTGATGCTCTATCCACTGAGCCAAACTGGCTAGGGCTTGAATATACTTATTAAGTTTACAGTCTCATTCACTTGAACGTCACCTTCACGGGGGTGGGATTTTTGCTTTGTTTACTAGTACTGTTTTATCCCTTAACAAAGAAGAGTGCCTTGAACATAAAAAATGTTTAACAAATATTTGTTGAATGAATGATATTGTAAAAAAAGACTCCTTACTATATCCTTAAACAGAGAGTAGCAAGAAAAAGAATATGGAAAACAAGTGTTGTTATTGTCAAAAAGCTTGTGCCATACCTTTCCTTTCTGTGTGAGTCAAAATATTGTCTTTACTCATTCTTTTGTAATACGCAATTGATCGTTCATGTTCCTTCTCTGCCAATCTGTTAAAACCCTTCAGCATCTCATATTCAAAGACGTGTTTGTCGAGTAGTAGTTAACAGTACCAGAATGTCCTAGACAGACTGCCTTCCATTCCCAAGAGCCTAGAGCCAGGACTATCTCCTTCCCTGGAGATTTTGGGTCAGTTAGCAAAGAAGAGTGTAAACTGAATACCCAGGGGACAAAATTTCACAGGAAGGAACTGTTCCTTAGATTCCTGGGATTTACAGAGACTCAACATAGATAGGAATGCTTCCTCAAACATTATAATGCGACCGTTTTTATTCCCACTGCTACTTTGGCAACATTGCTCAACCTGATGAAAAAGAGGTTCTTTCAGGGCACTAAATTCCCCTGATAAAATTTTAATGTGACTTGGATTTCTCAAAGATTCTTGTTGTATATTTGGGTGTGTTTCCCACTAGTCTTCAAAAGTAAATATAGTTAGTGGGAATATGTGAAAATATTTTATAGTGACTGAGTAAAACAATAAGTGAAAAGAAGATTGGGTAAACGTATAGCTAGCTCCGAATACTTGAAGACCTTTTACTATGGAATATAAATAAAACTTAATTCTGGATAGGACTAGGTCATCTTTAAACTGTCTTCTGACGAGATTTATGATTTTATATTTCTTTTTTTTAAAAATATACTTTACTGATTTTTATAGAGATAGGATGTTAGAGAGATAGAGAGTTAGAAACATCGATCAGCTGCCTCCTGCACATCTCCTACTGGGAATGTGCCTGCAACCCAGGTACATGCCCTTGACCGGAATCGAACCTGGGACCTCTCAGTCTGCAGGCTGACGCTCTATCCACTGAGCCAAACCGGTTTCGGCTATGATTTTATATTTCAATGAAAGTGATTGTTTGGAAGATTTTTTTCATAGAGGTATAATATATTGTAACCCAAATAGTAATTATTATAAAGTAAGTGAAATAATGTTTTATATTTTTTAGGAATAGACATTAATTCTCATTTCCCTCTATTTTGGTTAGCTTATTAACTGCTGTTTTAAATATTCATTTCTAGTTGGTTGAAGACATGACATACATTTTTTGAAAAGAGTAATTGTTGTGACATGAGTTCTTTTTCTTGATGTTTATTATAGAGGTTCCAGGAACTTCAGCAGTTGCAGTGCAGAGGACTTTGAGAAGTTAACTTTAAATAAAGGAGGAAACTGCCTTCTTAATATTCCCAAGCCTGATGAAGCCTATAGTGCTCCCTTCTGTGGCAATAAGTTGGTGGACCCCGGGGAAGAGTGTGATTGTGGTTCTCCAAAGGTCAGTTGAATGTTTGCTTTCTGCTTTGTTACATTCCTTCAGGGTTTGCAGAAAATAAAATAGCTTGCTGTGGGCAACTGTGGCACAGGAGCTAAAGTAAAGCTTAGTGGCAGAAAGAGGATTGGCATTTTCCTTGTGGGGACGTGTTCCTGGGACTGGTCATCTCCTTCCCAGAACATAACCAATGGTGTCATCTGTTTTGATGACAAGGAAAGCGCCATGCCGACTCTATTTTTTTGTGCTAGCTTCTACCATTTCTGTTATGGTTATTGGGTCATTTATTTACTTTAAAGACTGACTCGGTTTTTCACTTGGCTCTACTTGTAAGCTCTCACATTCTGTCTGGCACTGCCATTGCAGAAATATTTATTTGGTTGAACTCATTTTAATAATAAATTAAAACTGGCTCATTCTCCAGAGCCCTTCATTAACAAAGTTCTTAGCACTGAAATTAACATCCTTCCTTAATTAACCTCTAGTTTACCTACTGATCTGTGGTTTTATCACACCTGATGCTCATACTTATTTCCATTAACCCATGCTCCTCTTCATTATTATTGTTCTGTATCTTAGCCATTCTTCTCTCCAAGTGGCCTCCTCCTAGGCATAGGTAGGAGAGGCTGGGGGATGGTCACTGGAAAAAAAGGGGGGGGGGGAGACATATGTACTACTATTTGTAATACTTTAAACAATAATAAAAAAAGAAACTTGTTCATTTTTGTGTAAGCTTCACTCTATTCTCAGCCTTTCCCACAAGGTCTTCTTTTTCACCCGACCACACCTGGCTTTGCCGGAAGGCTCCCATTATAGAGAGGCAGTTTGTATTCTATGATGAAATTGTAACTGGCCTTCATCACATTGCTGCATGTCAGGACTTCTGCTCGGTGTTTTACATGGTATAATTCTCACAGTAGCCCAAGCAGATTGATATTTTTTATATCCTCATTTTCAAATGAGGAAAATAAGGCCTAATAAAGCATGTTTAATGTCTAAATTAACAGTATGCTATTAGGATGACCAAATTATTTGCCTTTCCAGGCATTTTCAATTCTTTATCCTTACATATTTTATGTTTTTAAAAATAATTTATTCTTAAAAAATATACTTTTATTGTTGATAGTATTACCGATGTCCCTCATTCCCACTATTTCCACCCATTGGAGATGCAAGTCTGGCAAATCAATAAATGTGATACATCAAATAAACAAAATGAAGGACAAAAATTACATGATCACATGTGCACACTCTGGCCTACATGCCAAGATAGAGAGGTATTTATAGAAGGGAAAAGGAAGTTAGAACCATATCACTCTATTATTAACATAGAGTTCTTCCTGTAGGATTTTGTGGAATGTGAAAACTTTCATAAGCTCTAGCTCCTCCCATATACCCTCTCAGCTGATTATATTTGCTTCAAGTTTCATTTAGTTTTTATCACTTTTCATATGCTTTTAGACCATATGCATAATTTTCTTCTGAGTTATTTTATATCCCACATAAGTTTATATGTTGTGCTGTTGATTTTTTTAAAATCTACTTCTAGCAACTCATATATTATGGGCAAAGTCCTTTGTGAATATGTTCTAATATTTCCTCTATTTTGCTTATCATTAAGCTTAAAAAAATTAATCAACTTTATTTCTTAGAGCAGTTTTAGGGTCAAAGCAAATTTGAGTGGAAAGTACCAAGAGTTCCACATATTGCCTGTCCCGCACACAAGCACTTCTCCATTGCCCACATCCTGCAGCACAGAGGTACATTTGTTACAATTGATGGCTCTACATTGACACATCATTATCCAAAGTCTGCAGTTTACATTAGGGTTTACTCTTGTTATTTAGCTTTTTATCGCATGTATTTTTATTATATTGAAATTTAAAATTTAAATGAAGGCAAGTTTATCAATTATTTTTCTTAAGACTTTCTGAATTTTGTATTTGACTAGTAGTACTCTTTTTCAAGATTATCATCATAGCTTCTTTATACTTTTTAAGTTAAAAATTTTTAGATTACTCTTTAATTGAGGGAATCATGTGGACTGGGGTAGAAAATTAACTTCTGTCCACTAATGGTTAGTTATTACAGAACCATTTAAAATTATACTTTTATCATAATCAGAATACATGTATACACTGTTTCCTAATTCTCTTTTTTAATGAAGCCATCTTACAGTGTTTTTCAAAATAAAGTTAACAGCTTTATTGAAGTATAATTGAATGCAGTGTCAAAAAACTAAATTAGGACTTAGGTAAGGAAAGGCTATTGTAATAGGGAGACCATTCTGATCTCCAAAATCTGCAAGTATCTCAGAATCAAAGAGAAAAAGGTTTTTCTTTAATAGGGTAAAGGTGGGGGCAAAGCAGAGATAAGCAGAGTCTTTTAAGGAGAAGCTGAAAAGCAAGGGGAATAACCAGTAAGTACCGAGAGGAAAGTGTTCTGCTGTGGTCAGCTGATTTCTAGGGGGAGCTAGCTGATGAAGGGGACAAGCAGAGTCCAGGGACCTATATAAAAGAAAGAAACCTTATAACATTTGGTCAAGACAAAGCAAAGGGTAAGAAATAGGCAATTGAAGACTTGGTCAATAATAAACTGCCCATGTTTAAAGCATACAAGTTGATATATTTTGACACATTATATACATACTAGAAGCCCAGTGCACTAATTTGTGCACAGGTGGGGTCTGATCACCCCGCCCCGATTGGGACTGATCAGGGCCAAACTGGCCAGGGGTGGGGGGCCGCAGGAGGTCGGCCAGCCGGTCCCCACCACTTGCTCACCCCCCCACCCCAATCAGGGGTGGGGTTGGCTGGGGGAGGGGCCGTGGGCGGTTGGCCGGCTGGCCCCACCCCCGATTGGGGTGGGTGGGCCAATCAGCCGCGGTGCCTGTCATAGCGACTGGTTGTTCCAGTCATTCTGGCATTTCTGTTGCTTGGCTTTTATATATATAGATGTGAAACTGTCACTACTATCTAGATAATGAACATATCATCCAAAAAGTTCTTTGCAACCCTTGGTAATCCCCCATTCTCCTCAGACAATCACTGATCTGTTTTCTGACATTACACATTAGTGTGTATTTCCTAGAGTTTCATGTAAGTGGAATACTCTTTTTTTGTCTAGCTTCATTCACTCAGCATAATTCTTTCGAGATTATCCACATTGCTACAGTGTCAGTAACTCATTTGTTTGTATTGTTGTTTACCAACAATAGTATGATAAACTACAATAAATTGAATAGTATGGATAAACTATAGTTTGTCAATTCATCTCTTGATGTATATTTGTGGTATTTCTGGTATTTTGCTATTAACACAAAAAGCTGCTTGAACATTCACCGACAAGTCTTTACATGAACTGATGTTTTCATTTCTCTTGGGTAATGCAAAAAGTTCCATGTATTCTTTTTTAACCCCATCTCCCTCAAAGGTGACATCTTATTTTAATAAGAAATAAGAAAGCTAGTTTTCCTTCCTTTCTCACCTTTTCTTCCTTTCCCCTATCTTATCTCTCTTCTGTTTTTCCTTCCTTTCCTGAACAATTCAGAGCTGAAGACATCAGTTGGAACATAGGAGAGTAGGTGTCTCTGTGAGTAGGAGCTTGTGGGGTTGAAGAGCAATGGTGGCCCAAAGTGGGGTGGGAGAAGCCAAGAAAGATAAAAAGCCACTGTTCTCAAAACTGCCTGGTCCTGGCACAAGAACAGACATATAGACCAATGGAACAGAACAGAGAACCCAGAGATTGACCCAAGCCATTATGCTCAATTAATATTTACAAAGGAGGCAAGACCATACAATAGAGTCAAGACAGTCTTTTCAATAAATGGTGTTGGGAAAATTGGACAGATA